AAAAAGAAGGCAAGGAACTTTCCTACCTCATGGAGATTAAAAACCACACTACTGGAAGACCATTGGACTAATGAGGAGATCAAAGAAGAAATTAAAAAATTTTTTGAATTGAACGACAAGGAGGACACTAATATCCTAAATGTATGGGATGCAGCAAAAGCAGTAATAAGAGGAAATATATAGGCAATAGAAGCTCACATCAAGAAACAAGAAAGAACGCAAAGAAACAACCTCATCTCGAAGCTCAAAGATCTAGAAAAAGAACAACAAAAAAACCCCAAAACCAGTAGAAGAAAAGAAATAATAAAAACCAAAGCAGAAATAAATGAAATTGAAACTAAAAAAACAATCCAAAAGATCAATGAAACCAAGAGCTGGTTTTTTGAAAAAATCAATAAAATAGACAAACCCCTAGCCAGGCTCACAAAGGAAAAAAGGGAGAAAGCACAAATAAACAGGATCATCAATGAAAGAGGAGAAATCACAACGGACACAGCAGAAATCAAAAGAATAATCAGTAACTACTATGAACAGTTATATGGAAACAAGTTTAACAATCTAGAGGAGATGGACAAATTCCTACAACTCTACAATCACCCAAAGCTAGATAAAGAAGAAATAGAACACCTAAACAGACCAATTACAATTAGCGAAATTGAAATGGTAATAAAAACCTCCCCAAAACAAAAGCCCAGGACCTGATGGATTTACAAATGAATTCTACCAAACATTCAGAGACGAATTAGTGCCTATCCTTCACAAACTCTTCCAAAAAATTGAGAAGGAAGGGACAATACCAAACACGTTTTATGAAGCCAACATTACACTAATACCAAAACCGAACAAGGACAACACAAAAAAGGAAAACTACAGGCCAATCTCCCTAATGAACACTGATGCAAAAATCCTCAATAAAATTTTAGCTATCAGAATCCAACAATGTATCCATAAGATAATTCACCACGACCAAGTTGGATTCATTCCAGGGGCACAAGGATGGTTTAACATCCGAAAATCAATCAACGTTATCCAACACATCAACAAAAAGAAATATAAAAACCATATGATAATATCAATAGATGCTGAGAAAGCTTTCGACAAAGTGCAACACCCATTCATGATAAAAGCCCTTGAAATTCTGGGGATACAAGGAACATACCTCAACATCATAAAGGCCATCTATGACAAGCCAACAGCCAGTATCATTCTCAATGGTGAAAAGCTGAAAGCAATTCCATTAAGATCTGGAACAAGACAAGGATGTCCACTCTCACCATTGCTTTTCAATATAATACTGGAAGTCCTAGCCAGGGCAATAAGACAAGAGAAAGACATCCAAGGAATCCAAATAGGAAAAGAAGAAGTCAAACTATCACTATTTGCAGACGATATGATATTATACATAGAGAACCCCAAAAACTCCACAGAAAAGCTAATTCAACTCATCAATGAGTTCAGTAAAGTGGCAGGATACAAAATCAACACGCAAAAGTCAGTAGCCTTCCTATACACAAACAATAAATCTGAAGAAGAAGAAATCAAAAAGACCATCCCTTTTGTTATTGAAACAAAAAAAATCAAATATTTGGGAATAAATCTAACAAAAGAGGTAAAGGACCTATACAAAGAAAACTATAAAACACTGTTAAAAGAAATAGAAGAAGACACAAAGAAATGGAGAGACATCCCCTGCTCATGGATTGGAAGAATAAACATTATTAAAATGGCCATCCTACCAAAAGCAATATACAGATTCAATGCTATTCCAATCAAAATTTCAATGTCATTCTTCAAAGAAATAGAACAATTATTGATGAAATTCATATGGAATCACCAAAAACCCCGAATAGCCAAAGCTCTCCTGAAAAAAAAAGAAGGAATGGAGGCATCAGACTCCCAGACTTCAAACTATACTACAAAGCCATAATCATCAAAACTGCATGGTATTGGAACAAGAACAGACATACAGACCAATGGAATCGAATAGAAAATCCAGAAATAAACCCACAGATTTATGGTCAACTAATCTTTGACAAAGGAGCAAAGAATATGCATTGGAGCAAAGAAAGTTTGTTCAATAAATGGTGCTGGGAAAACTGGGTCGCTACATGCAAAAGAATGAAGCTTGACCACCACCTCACACCATACACAAAAATCAACTCAAAATGGATTAAAGAACTAGACATAAGACCTGAAACCATAAAATATATAGAAGGAAATATAGGCGAAACACTACGTGATTTGCACATCAAAGACATCTTTACAGACACATCACCCAAAGCAGTGATAGTGAAGGCAAAGATAAACAGCTGGGACTACATCAAATTAAAGAGCTTTTGCACAGCAAAAGAGACAATAACAAAAACAAAGAGAAACCCCACCAACTGGGAGAACATTTTTGCACCCAACACTAATGATAAAGGACTGATCACAAAAATCTGCAAAGAGCTGATGAGACTCAACAACAACAAAGAAAATAATCCAGTCAAAAAATGGGCAGAAGAGCTAAAAAGAAACTTCTCTGAAGAGGAAATGCAAATGGCCAACAGGCATATGAAAAAATGTTCAACATCACTTGTCATCAGGGAAATGCAAATCAAAACTACCATGAGATACCATCTTACACCAGTGAGAATGGCACATATTAAAAAAACTAGCAACAACAAATGTTGGCGAGGGTGTGGAGAAAAAGGAACTCTTCTGCACTGTTGGTGGGAGTGCAAACTGGTCCAACCACTGTGGAAAGCTGTATGGAGATTTCTGGACCTACTAAACATAGAGCTTCCATATGATCCAGCAATTCCACTCCTAGGTATTTACCCAAAGGACACAGAAACATCAATTCCAAAGAACACCTGCACCCCTATGTTTATAGCAGCACTGTTTACAATAGCTAAGCTTTGGAAACAACCCAAATGCCCAAAAGTAGATGACTGGATCAAGAAGATGTGGTACATATATACCATGGAATATTACTCAGCATTCAAAAAAGATAAACACATGCAATTTGCAGCAACATGGATGGCGCTGGAAGGGATCATGCTCAGCGAAATAAGCCAAAAAGAAAAAGAAAATACCGGATGGTCTCACTCATAGCAGGAATCTAGAAAACTTAAATAAGGGACCAGGAAAATGAATAACTATAAGAAAGTGAAAATCAAAATCAACAAAAAACTATGAACCAGAGACACTTTTAGGGGGGCGGGGGTGGGAGGGAGGGATTGGGGTCAGAATGGGGGGCTGCAATTGTATGGGGAATATAACAATAAAATTTATTAAAAAAAAAAAAAAAGAAATAGGTTTGAGTTGATTTTAAAAGTTTACTTAGTCCATTATATTAATTACAATATTTGGAAAGTACACCCACAAAAATAGTATTTGATATATGTATTTTAGTGGAAAAAATATTTTCCTAATCACATTTTCAGAACACAAGAAGTTATCTTGTTAAATGGATCCTTCTTTACATAAATTTTTTATATTTTACCTTTTGACATTTCTAGGACGTTCAGTTCTCATGTCATACTTTTAAATTTAAAAGTTTAGGACCGATAGAAATATGCATTAAATGACATATTTAGTTCTTTTAAAGTGAAGATGCATAAAATTCATGTAGATTTCTGGTGTTTTATTGAAGTAGAGTGGTCTTTCTCTTTTCTCAATTGTAATAATGAAACTTCAACAAAGATAATACTTTCTAAATATTTAGACATGCTTTCTTTTATTTTTAATTTTTATTTTTTTAAACAATATTTTCTTCCCGCCACCCCCTCAGGTTGAGTCCCCATAGAATTTCCTTCTCCAATAGTCATGCTTTCTATACCCCTACAAACTTCTTTACTTCAGTTTTTTGCTATTAAAGCTAAACCATAAAATTTCTCTCCTCAGGGAAAGTCTCTCCTTAAGAGATTTTTAAGAAAGGAGTCATTGATTTAAGAAAAAGGCATCATTGATCACCTCTTTGTCTCAAAGCTTAGTCCTTGAATCTGTGGTATACATTTTTCCAAAATTGAAGATCTCCTTTTAGAGAGGTTAGATTAAGATTAGAAATAGTTGACTCTTCACATTGAGATCATATATAAGTCAAGACAAATAATGTAAAATAACCCAAATCAGAGAAAATAGAAGTACAAGCACTGTGTCTGATCCAGAAGGGCATGAAAGGAAACTGAGAAACAAAAGACAGTGGCCCTGCCTTAGGGTAATGATAGTGATGGTAACCATGGTGAATATAGCAAAGGGATGAGAATAACCAGCCTATGCTGGGAATAAAAAAGGACATAACTGAGACTTAGACTTTCTGAGGTAGTGATATGTTCAAAATGATGATCAAACCTGTTTCTCCAGAAAATAACTTACAAACAAAAAATATACCATCTTGATTTGCAATACTTAGTGATTTCAAGCCAGAGGAGGTTCAACATGGAGACCTGAAAATATATTCATGATTGTCTCACCGCTCACCCATGCCTGTACTAGCACAGCATTGTTGAAGCATTGTGTCGGTCTCTTCCCAGCCTGTACCTCTTCCCATGTATAGTTTAGACCAAAAACAAGCCATAAGGGTCAATGAGAGCTGCAAGTTTCCTGTGAGTTCTGTGGATGGGATGAAGCTTCAGATCACAGAATGAAAGTTTATTCAAGAGAACATGGAACATTTTTCAGAGTTGGGGTCTGCAAGTTCCTTCACCATGGAGTTTTCTCAAACAGTGACTCCTAAATTAGTTTAAGATACTACAAGACATCGATTATCTGAATCTTTGGGGGCAACAAGCAGGGTTGGGATGTCCAGAATCCCAGGCTGTTATAATCTCTAGCCTCTGGATACCCGAGTTCATGAGATATTATCTCTCTCTCTGTTACCTTATAAAAAATGCTGGGAGATTTCATTTTTACTTGTCTTTCTCACACCCCAACTCCACTGAGGTTTGCCTAGGTGTCCCAGCACTGATATAGTTCAAGGAATAATGCCCACAGGATTTTCATTAGCCTAAGTTAACCAGCAAGATCCTTGCAACTTGATGAGGCTCACTTAATGCCTCTGGGACCACTTGGCAGGTCCACCAATGAATGATATTCTGGGCACTCCGGTCCTGGAGACACTGAACCAGGCAGTGGTAATGCTGACAGCAAACCTTAGACCAGGTCCCCATGGAGGATGGGAGGTGGTAGTGATTTTAAATATAGGATGTAGAATTTTCAATCTTTAAAACCTTGCTTAATGCAGTTAGAGGCAAAAGCAGCCACTGGAGTTTCTGCTCTCTGAAATATTGATAACAGTATCTTTGAGATGCTTAGACTCCAGAATTATCTGGAGGCCTTAATGGAAGCCAGAATTAAGAAGATATTATCAGAAATACAAAAACCAGATGTATAAAGACCTGGGAAGGTCTTTATTTGAACTTAAAATAGACACTTTTAGAAAAAGAACTGAAAAAAAGGGAAATCTTCATTAATAGAACAAGTTATGCTGTTGGTAAAAGTAACAGGAAGCATTCATTCTTTAAATGATGCATTAAAACACTTCCAATTTTAAATAGCTGCAACTAAAACAGTCTTCAAAGTACATCAGAAGAATAAATAACAGCTTTAGACAGTGCTAAAAAATTCTCAAAATGAAAATTCTGATCTTTGGGAAAGGATAAAACTTCTTTTGCAAGAGGCAGAAGGATGTGAAAGAATTAGTGAATTTAAAGATGATATGGAACAAGTTCTAAGGGACAAAGCCAAATTAAATCTCTGAGGAAACATTTGCTGTTCTTCCCAGGCATCTTGGATAGTGGAAACATGGAATCCAATTTAAAAATGCATGGAAATGGACACCTCTTAGAAGATGTTTTGAAAAAACCCATGGATGAAATTGAGTTAAATACTTATTGCACTAAACTGAATAATAACCTCTCCCCCAAAAAATGTCTGCATAGCAATCCTTGAAATCTATGAGTTTGTACCCTTTCTTGGCAAAGGGGCTTCAAAGGAATCTGAAATATGGGATTATCCAGGATTATCTGGGTAGTCCCAGTGTAATCACAAGAGTTCTTATAAGGGGAGGTAGAGAGGCCAGAATCAGACAAGAAAATATGACAACAGAAGCAAATAGTAATGTGACCAAGAAGCAAAGACTGTGAGCAGCCTTTAGAAGCTCAGAAAATAAGAAATGACTTCTGTCCTTGGGCCTCCAGAAAGAATGCAACTCTGCTAAAATGTTAATTTTAGCCTACCAAATTTAATTGGGACTTCTGATGTCTTTCCTTCTTTCTGCAAGTAACAAATTTGTATTTTTTGAGTTACTATGTGATAATTTATTACAGCAGCAATAGGAAACAAATATATTTGTTTAAAAACTATTAAAGAAAAATGCAACCAAATGTACACTAAATTAGCTGAAATGTGCATTTTGAGATTTTATTAAAATTCATTAAAGTGAAAAAAATTCACTGCAGTAAGGAAAAAAACAGAGAGTGAAAGGCAAAAGATCCAGGAAAAATGCCCAATTCTTTCTGAACTACATGAGAAAAAGAAATGAGTTTTCACCAAAAATTTAGAGGATTTTTTTGGTACAAAAAGAGAATATCAAAGTAATCAAATAGATCAATCAATCATCTGAGGAGCTGGGCATCTATTAAATACAAGTGTAATAAAGAATTTCCTAGAAAAACTAAAAATAATCGCCAATTATTATCAAATGTCACCTTGTGTCCTGTGAAAGGATAAGCTCAGAACAATAGGTTGAGAGTGCTGCTGGTTAAGAAAAGTTGGTTATTTAAGAAATTTAAAAAAGCAAACATCGAAAAAACTTTATTGAGGAAGAATTTAAATATGAATATTTCAGGGTATTTTCTTTTATCTTACAAGTTGCAGTGTTAAGATTATCAGGAACGCTTTGGGTGAATGCTTTCACAGAAGGGAGGGAAATCAGGATATGACTGCAGTGGGGTTGGGGATAATTAAGATTGCTGCCCACTAGAAGAGACATGCTGCCCAGTGGGTTCCCATAGGCAAGGACTTCCTCCATCAGAGCATCTAGATTGTGCTGTACCAGGTCCTACTCAAGACAATAGTTTTTTCTGCTGCTTGTTGTACTGGAAGACCCTTTGATCAGACTCTGGTGTTTACATAATCCTGCAATCAGAGGTCATGTTACAGAGGGATCCAGAGAAGGGGATCCCTTCTTTTCTCCCTTTTCTGGCAAGCAAGGGAAAATCTTCCCCAGAATCCTCTCTTCTAAGTGTCTTCCCTTGCCCATCAAAAATTCATTAGCGATAAGAAATATCAATACGCCAAGCACAGATTCAGTCTTGTGTCTACACAATCTGAAAACAAAAATGAGTCACTCTTCATGTTTATTTCTTATTTAAATGAGTCTTTCCAGATCCATAGTGAAATGCCCTCAAATGTTTATTCCCCCCTCTACTGGTTATTTTGATTTGCCCCTCTTTTCACTTTATTCCTATTAGTTAAGTAGCATTTACTTAAATGGAAGCTGAATACCGCTCTAATTCAGAGGATATTTTTTGTAACTGTATATTATTTCATTATGAAACATATGATTTAATTACTTCTATTTAACTATTTACATTTTGTGTATTTACAGCATTTTTATTAACTAATGCAATAAAATAATCCAGATACACATCAATTTTTTTCTTTTAAAATAATATAGACCTTTCTCTATTTTGGATTTATTGTTATTATTTAAGTGAGTATACTGTAGCAGAAAATGGAAGCTCCCTAGGGCTATAATTCTTAATTATGTAAATATCATAAGTGAATTGCTTCCATTTTATTTGTTTACATAGTATTACAGGTTTAAATACATTATTTTTACTGTTGCTACTTAATATGTCTCATTGATTCATAAGAAGATGAATTTTTGTTTTTTTTTTCCTTAAGAATTTTCTTTTCATTCTGCTGCTGTAGTTAACTGATTGTACAATAGCTCAACTGGAAGTATAACCACAATTATAACCTAGAAAATAGTATTTCATAAAAGTAGTTTATTTTAAAGTGAATTTCATGAATAAATTACTTCTTTTTCTTCTATTTCTAGAAAATGGAAAGCTAGTATTTCAATAGTTAGGGCTTAGCAAGATCCTGATAACATGTAAGTTTTACATGGTCCTTTCTCAAATATGGAGACATTTGAAACTTAAAATCTGTATCTGTGTATTTATTAAGTACTGAACTTACTCTAGTTGAAAGGATAATTAAATTTTAGTTTAAAAGAAAACTCTGAAGGCTCTAATTGTGTTAGCATAAAATCCAAGTCAAGCCCTTCACTATGAACCCTAAGCTATAAGAGACAGTCTTCCATGACATGGTTTTATGAATAAATGTGAAGATAAGACTGCTACAGAGATTTCACTGAACAAAAACCAACCAAAAAGCAAAATAAAACCCCTGCCCCACCAAGAAGATTAAAGCTAAGGGAAACACAGGGAAATGGAGTTTGATATTAAGTTAAATTAATCCTGAACCCACTATTTATCTAAATGTCCAGTTATGTGAAGAATAAAATTCCTTAATGTTTGCACCATTTTTGAGTTGCACATTTTCTTACATGCAGTCATTTTCATACTAACTGAAATTCTCTAAGAGAATTTCAAGCTAAAGCACCATTAAATGTGGTATTTCACATATTTCGATGAGATTAAAATTTCTGACAAGAACTTGTATAATCTCCTCTGAAATGAAATTATTACTTAATAACATTTCATATTCTGAATCTGTTAGATAACATGATGTGTCACCCCTTTAGGAATGAATATTTTACTCCCTACACTCTCCCTTTGTTTTGAACGTTCTGCCCTCAGGTGGCATTCCCCTGCAAGATTTTCACTCCTTCCCAGAAAAGCCAGCATCCAAAAACTGATTGAGGTGAGGTGGTCAAGTACTAGCTCTCCTGCTCCAATTCAGATCAACTCTGAAGGGTCCTCTTAGTTTCAGACTCCCTTACTGGCTTGACTGAAGTCTCTCCTAAGTCTGCATCAGAGTTCAAGCACATCTTTCCCCATTCATACTGCAGGCCTTTTCCTTCCCTTCTCTTTTGCAGCTACTGATTCCAAGAGCACTCCCCACTAAACTCTCCACTGCTGAATTCAGTGCAAGAGTGTTTTCCAGGAAATGGAACTGAAATATAAAGATAACACTTATAATACAGGAGAATAATTTAATTTGTTTCACAGAACCAAAAATGCCTACACAGAGGATTAATTACCCACCCCAAAATACTGACAAAGCCAGAATACCATTTAAAAAATCTAAATTTTTGCTTGTTAACTAATTTTCAATTTTCAAGAATGAATGTTTGCTCACCCTGCCCTACTTCACCACATTCACATGACGTATCGATTAGCAAGTTGTCATAGTCACAAGTTTACTTTCATTTATTGAAATTTTTGAAAAATTAGGGTTTAGGTCCTTTTTCTTTTCATATATTCAGTTGTCGACTACCCTTATGCCCTAATTTTACATTATTTTGATTGTCAGCTTGGAGGTTGCCTATAAAGATGTTCTTTGCGCTTCAGATTATAGGGCTTTGCAGTTTATTTGTAGATCATTTGTAGTTACTTCTCTAATGCTATTGTTACAATGTGATCTTTACTATGCCTGTCACTAAGGTTTAGTGACAATCTCTGCAGTATATGCACCTATTGTTTCCTGTTTGTTTTATTTTTGCCTTCAACTTCTCTTTTTCTTTTCCATTTACTAACCTGGGACAATAATTTATGGGATTAAATATAAGATGCTACAATAATATCCTCAGGTACTCCCTGCTGCATGTAGTACAGATCAGTATCTTTGAAAATGAATAATAGTCTCTTTCAAACATAAGAAAGATTGCAATTTATTAGATCACATCAAAGTGAATTTGAGCCTACCAAGCTTGTGTGTGCTGTATTCTGTAATTAATAATTTGTATAGATGCAACATGCCAATGCATAACACAGTACATGCCTTTAAAAGGCTAAATTCAATACAGTGTACCAACTCAGAGCAAGTAGGTCCAGGCCTAATATGCCTGCCTTTAATATTTTTAATGAAAAGAACAAGTTCATACTTGATTCTCCATGGGCCAGGAAATTAGCAACTTGTTACTCCTGTCACCATTTGTATTTCCCAGATTTCCACGTCATTCCCACTCAACACTTTT